TGAACAGGTTCGCATGATTGTAAACGATGAGGTTATTATTCATGCTGCACAAACAACCTTAAGAGAAAGAGGCAAAAGAGATGCATCCCAAATTCTGAAAAACATCACAAATTCTCCTACTCGTGCTGGAAAATATAAGAAAGCTTTCCAACCCAAATATTGCCAACAAGAAATTCGTCCACTAACACCGCAAGAAGCATTAGCCATGTTTGTAGAGGCTGATTTAACTAAGCGGCAATATGAAGTTATTAGAAGTAGGAACAAAGCTCTTTATCCGTGTTACAATCTAGTAATTAAAGCAAAACAAGATTGCTATCCACCTAAAGAATGTATAAGGGTCACAAGTACCTGCGCCGAAAGTACATTACAAGGCCTCATGAACAACACCGTTACGCGCTTTTCAATTTATCTGGAAGAAGTACTGGCAACCCTCAATGAAGAAGAAAGAAATTCATTGCTAATTATTTGTAAATGGGGTTGTGATGGTTCGCAGCAAGCTAAATATAAACAGAAATTCGATAATGATGCCGATTCAGATGGTCATATACTTCTGAGTTCTTTCGTACCAATACAAATAGTTTGTGGCAAGGATAAAAAGAAAGTCATTTTGCAAAACCCAACACCGTCTTCGCCAAAATATTGCCGACCGATAAGATTCAGATTTCTGAAGGAAAACGCGCATGTTACTAAAGAAGAAATTAGTTTTGTCGAAGAGTTTAGTTGCTACCGAAGTCATTTTGAACGGAAAGACATTCCTGTTTGGACATCTATTGAAAATGACTATGGTTGACGGAAAGGTTTGCAACGCAGCTACTGGCACAAAATCAACGACACGGTGTTATATATGTAACGTAACATCAAAAGATTTCAATAATCTGGATCTAGAAAAAAAAGTAGTGAGTAAACCTGCTATCGAATTTGGTTTATCTGTTTTACACGCCAGAATACGATTGTTAGAGAGTATTTTACATTTGGCTTATAAATTGCCAGTCAAGAAGTACAGACAGAAAAGAAGTAAGGAGGAAAAAATCGTCGAAGAACAAACGAAATTACACATTCAAGAAAGGTTTAGAAAAGAGACGGGATTATTAATAGATATGCCAAAGGCTAACTATGGAAATACTAACGATGGAAACACTAGCCGAAGATTCTTCGAAAATGCAAATTTAGCTGCTGCCATCATAGGAATTGATTATAATTTATTGTACAGACTTAAAGTAATTTTGGAAAGTCATTTCATCTGGTCATAAAATTGATACCAAGAAATATGATGAATATGCCCTGGATACGGCTAAAGTATACGTTCAATTGTATGAATGGCATCCGATGACACCATCCATGCATAAGATATTAATACATGGTGGTACCATCATTAAAAATGCTTTGTTGCCCATAGGGCAATTATCAGAAGAAGCCCAAGAGGCTCGAAACAAACATTTTCGAATGTACCGCGAAAACTTTGCCAGGAAATTTTCAAGAGAAGATTGTAACCGCGATATATATAATAGATTATTATTAAGCTCAGACCCACTTTTGAGCAGCACAACACAAATTAAAAAAAGGTGTAAATCGAAATCATTCTGCCCAGAAACAATAGAAATGTTAATATCAACTGAGCCTTATATTGAAGCCAGTACTACACCAGATTCTTCGGATAGCGAGCAAGATTTGTAATTAAATATGGTTGAAATAATGATTATTGATATTGTTTACTAACATAATATACCTACGAACAAATATTATGAGACAGTGATTTCGGAAATGAATGCTTATTGTGATTATTATGTCTTTTAAGATATCTTTTATAAGTGTGTTAAATTAATATGTTTGAATTTTCTGTATTTGTTTTTAAATAATCATATTAATTAGTAATTATTATGAAAAATACCAAATTATTATTGTTTATCCCATTTAGAACTGATATAGACCATAAAATAATTTTGACCGCGTAAATCGATCAAATCAACCTATGTGCGTCGTTTTCTTTAGGAAAATTAATTAATTTATGCTTAAATCATACGAAAAAAGGAATTTGTTTAGGTTTTTTTAATGTCAAACATTTAGAAACTCCTAAAAAATTGAATTAAATTGTCGTTTTTTGAACTTTTAACGTTTCAAATAATTATTATTAGTCTGGTCAAGATGGCTACCCGTGGATAATGATTATTATTCACCGCTATTATTCACTCCGTGAAAAATGACTGCCATTTTGTTTTAGAAAACTCATTCATAAGGTATATATTATAAGGTAGTCGTGGACAAATAAATTAATGCAGGTATTTAACTTACCCTGAGAATTCTATTATGTTCATCATGGATTTTTTCTTGATGGGCATCACCTTTATATCCACAAGTTTTATTCGTTTGATCATCAATATCAGAATGACTGTACAAATAGTGATAATCCTCGATGCTATTTCCGTTTCCTTCGACGTAATGCATATCCTCGCCATCGTAAACGACACCGGTTAGACGACCGTCGCACGTCGATAGTGCAGCGAAGGAATCTGGGACACCCCTTATCTTGCCGTTGTAGTGACACAGCTCCACATCCTGCGAATGATGAACGCGTGTACCCAAGTTAATGACATAAATAGACAACAACACTATTATATGACCAGAGGTAAGATGTTTGTTTTAACCACTATTAAACGTATTTGTGATGAATACTTAATAAGATTAAATCAAAGGCCAATAAAACAGGTTCAATGTTAATATATGTAAATGTATTGAAATTATTTGTTATTTATAGAGTTTATATAGACGTACCTTTTCAGATAGATTTTTAAGTACGGACTTGCCGTTCTCTTGTACCCTGTGAAAGAAGTTCTTAGGTATTAGGTCCCTGTTTAGTTGTAAGTCTAATGTGTAGTCTTTGCCTCTGAGATCATATTGTATTTGTAGGTTTTGAATATGATAACCAGACTGGAAAGATAAAAATAAAAAAAAATTAAATTGTTATTACAACTGCTTATAAAACTACTTTAAAAGCTGTTATCGCGTTGACCTATATAATAAAAAAAATATAAATTCCAATCACTCCTCTTGTGCTCTCAAATTGAAATTTATCCGATATTAAATTCTCAAGTGATCAAATTGAACTAAAGTGTAATTCGCACGTAACCCAATAACCCAGATCATCACCGAGACAACTTTCCTGAGGTGTTTTGTCTCAATAGTGGAGTAACATCGTTAAACAACTGTTACGACACTATTATTACTCAGAGCGGGTTTATTGGAAATGTTGGGTAGAGTTTCATTGAGTTCCCATTATTATAACACATTTTGACTAAATCACCTATTCATTATTACATTTATTACATGATTAGTAATCAAATATGGAAGTTAATAATTATTGACTATTATAAGTTGGATGTGAAACTTTAAAAACTATAACAAATATTTATTTATTTATTTATCTCATCTGTACCATAAACAAGCAATTGTATACAAATAAAATTACAGTTCACAATGATGAATTAATATTAATGGTACAAAATTGAATCAAAAGGAAAAAACTAAGTCTAGGTGATATAAATATATTGTGATGTTTTACTTGTGTGTTTTTACACAAGTTATTAAATTATAAATTTGGGTTTCTTTAATTTTAAGAGACTCTTATTAAAAACTCAGGGTTTCGGGCAAGTTCAGGTTCAAAAGAATATTAATCAGGTTCGACAAAAAATTCATTTAATTAAACACAAAATCAAATTAACTCGTTTTATGAGTAACAAAAAAAAATGGTTTTCCTAAATTTACTTTAATAACAATGCTTATTTACGAGAGATAAATTTTTAAATAAAATAGATAACTGCGGTTATCGACTGAAATATCGATATTAGAGAGAACCCGTTTATTATTTGAGAGAGAGAGAGTAGGATAAAACTCGTTAGAACCGTTCTTTGAAAATAACAAATGGCCGATGTCTTAAGTTGTCATCAAACTCGTTAAAAAAAAATAGAATTAAATAAATGAACGTTATTCAAGAAAACTAATAAATCTTTACCCACAAGTAAGTATTGATCAAAATTATAGGAAACTCTTGTGAGTTGTTCTTTGAGTTTGATTCTTTGATTTTTCTTTTTGTAGGTTATGTTAAATAATAAAATAAAATTATCATCCGACTCACTGTGAAAAAGAAAGGATTGGAGTTCAATGTGGTATCTGGATTATGGATTGTCTCTTGTGTTCGGGGCACTAACTAATTTTCTGGATTGTCTACAGGATTCTTCTTACGGGAAATTGAACTGTTTGTTCTTCGGAAATAGGGTCTTGGATGATCTCGAAGAAGTATCGGTAGTTCTTGGAATAGGTTGTAGGATGATTCTCTTTTTATTTTAATATTGTAAGTTGATTTGACTTTTTTTTAAAAAATTATCTTAAATTTTTGAGGTTATCTCTTCAAAAATTCTTCTATCTGACGACGTGGATTCGACGCTGGTCCGACGACGACTCTCTCACTCCCTGTTCGCGATCTCCTTATATACCCCGGCACTCCAACTGTTTTTTCCTCGTTTCTGATTGGCTCTTAGCTTCGCGCCCTTTTCAAAATTCAAAATTCTTGCTTCGAAACTAGCGTCATCTCTTGATTTTTCTCGGAATTAACCTTCAAAATTTAATTCTTTTTTCGTTGATTTCTCCCTTATTCCTTTATGAAACGTAATAAAACTTCGTATTCAACGTTGTCTTTTCTTGTTTTTAGACATACATTGGAGTACACGCCAAATTTCAACAATGAGTAAAGTTAGAAAAATTCAAATTTAAATCAAGGATTTCTTCCTCAAAATAACGTTAAAACCTCAAACGATGGATGAAAAATGTGCTTTAGGAGCTGAACTATAATAATTGATACATTTGGAAGTAAACAAAACGGTTTAAGATAAGATTTTCACCAACAAAAAATCTCTCTGTAACAAATTCTAGGTTATGTTCTCTCGGTGAACTAAGAGAATGTTAAAATTATCACAATATCAAATAAACGCACCAACTGCAGCAAAGAACAGTTTTTTAAATGCATAGAAAGAGTGCTGAAACAAATATACGTTAATACGATTTGCTGATCTTGCCATTCTCAATAAAGGAGAGTTTTGACAGGAATTGGTTCTAGGAGTAGGTGTCATAAATAGAAAGCGAAGTAATCTCAGAGGAACATGAACACATATAGAACCAACAAGCATTGGAGAATCACACTTGTTGTTCAAAAGTTTGTATTTGAGCAATTTAGATTGAATACGCTCAATTCTAGATTTATACGAGAGATACTGAGGATTCCAAAACTTAAAGTGTGAAGCAAAACTTAGGTGTGCTGTAGACATAGGCAAAATAGAGATTTCTAATTGCATCAATGTTAGAAAAAGCTACCGTGGATCTCAACTGTATCAATATAAGTTTAGGCGATTATTTAAGCAAAAAGCATGTAAATTGTTTAAGTCAGATTGCAGTTTAGAACAATCAAGAGGTGAGGAGATATGGAGAAAGAGTTTGAAATCGTCAGCATACATTAAACATCGGGCATAATTAACGACGTCAAATATGTCGTTAACATAAATATTAAGCAGTAAAGGACCCAGATGGCTACTCTATGGAACACCAGAAGAAACCGACACAGGATTAAAAAAAAAACATTAACCGAAACAATCTGGCATCTCTATTTCAGATAGAAAGCAAGCCATTGCAAAAGTTTCCTCTGAACACCAAACTTCATTAGTTTAAACAGAAGTAAATTGTGATCCAAAGAAATCCGTAGAAACTGAATTAACTTGACAAGAATCATCCAGAGAAGATAAGATATACTGGGTATATTCAAGCAATAAAATTGTCTACAATTGATTTTAGACTTAAGGGCAAAGAATAGACGTGCATGAACTACCTTCTCAAACACTTTCCCAAATGCTGGCAAAATAGATATGGGGCGGTAATCAGATATAACACCACGATTTCAGATTTAAAAATGGCAAGAATAAAAGCCCGCTTCCACATTGAAGGAAAGACACCCATTATTAATAAAGCATTAAATAATATAGTTAAAGGAAGGGACAGAGAATGTGAACATTCCTTGATTAAAATTGATGGAATACCATCAGTACTACACTATCTGTAACCCTGATTAACGCCCAACCTCAATTCTGTCAAACTACATCTGACTCAAAAAAAAGGCATCAATTTCTACACAATCTACATTCTGCTGGATTGGAGCAGGATCAACAATACTACCGACAACAGTTCCATTCCATGACATCGTAGAAGAAATGACATCCACACGCTTCTTAGACTTATTGTTAGTAAAAGCCTAAAACACCTTTGGGTTGAGATTGGATATTGCTTGCAGCTCTTCTAACATACTCCATGTAAATGTGTTGGATTAGATACTTTGCACGACTCCTTAGAATTGAAAAAGTGAGGTAATCAAATCGGTTGCCAAAACGCTTCCATTTATAGTGCGCCTTTCTTTTCTCTCGAATTACTTTAATGGTATATGAAAACCATAATAAAACATGAAAAAACCATAATATAATTGACAAATTCTAGTTAGATTAATTAGAACACCGTATTGTTTACTAAATATTGTTGCAATTAGATAAACATTTTATGGCAGCATCAAATCCGCAATATCACAATAGGTACATTTGAATAAAATTAGTTCTAAAATACTGTGGAGGTAAAAATAGAGATGAAATCCCAATGATTTAAAGATTTTTATAAAATCAATACGAAGTTTAATAAAGTTGCAATAACAATGAATAATTTATACAATTCCACACTTAACTCCACACTCATATTGGATATTGCAAAGCAAATCTTTTAATAACCTCGTCTCTTTATCAATATTTATGTTTCCTGGTAGATACAAGAATATAAGTATACGTATGTAGAAGGACATAATTTTTATTTAACGAAAATTGCAATCTCAGTAAAACTGTTGATATACGATTGTGGTGAGGTTGTAAAACTTTCTCGCGTGGCGAACGCCCGTTGATAAGCAAAAAGAATAAAGGAAGTGACATTTGACTTGGAGAGTCGCCTGAGGTCGCCCACTCAGACGGCTACCAGATAAGAGCTCGAGGACTGTCAGACGTTACGGCCGATGCCTTCATTGTTCCCGTCCTAATGAATTTCCCTGCAAAACCTATTTCAATAGGCCAAGTTGTTCGAATATTGCATGATGAGAAATTTCTATTATAAATTTATTTTGATTAAAATTTTTTTTATTCCATTCATAAACATCCATCGTAGTTTTATAGAGCGTAAAAGAACATCATATATTCTATTCGAATGGGTACATTAAGAGCACATTCGCACTTTAAAGCACCTTCGTCCAAGTACTAAATCCGCAGTAAAGCCGCTCCGGGCGACTTTTATTGCGATACCTGCGCAAGAAATTTTATCTATGTGCCAGCAGTTTTCGATAGCAAGAGCTTGCATTTTTCGGGAGATTCTATTCGAATTTCTCCGAGTTATTTATAAAGTTTTTTGCAAGATTTTTATCTAAGTCGAAGCAAGAACTCCTTATGGCTTATTGTCAACTTAGACTCCCAGCAAAGATTATAAGACGACGATGTCCTCTTCTCCGCATTCCGAGCACACAGAATCCGTAGTCGTTTAAATTGAATAACAAGGCCTTTGTAGCTGTAGCGGTTCATGCATAATTCAGTGCGAAAACGCAGCTAGCTAGTCGTGGAGAGGATGGAAATCTTCGTCGTAAGGAAGTAAAACGACTACTAAAGAGACAAACTAAGTTCATACAAACTGTGCTAGGAAATGGAGGCGGATATTAAAGTTTTACTGATTTCATTTATTAAAAAAAATCATAAAGTTTTTCTTAACTTATTCAAATTCACATTCATAAAGACAAGTTTTAATATCGAAAAATGAATCCTTAACGCTCTATTATTCAGTCAATTGTAAAGTTTGTGAATTGTGAATTCATGGGCTTTCACTTCGAATTGACGAGCTTGAATAGGTAAATTACTGAAACGTAACAGGTGCTTCATAAAGTGATGCATACAGAGTTGAAATTCGAGCTTTTATAAACTTTTCTACGCTTCGACAATTTCGTATCAATCGGGAACCGTACTACAGCCGTTTCGCAGTCAATTTGATTCCGTTCGTTTTACCTCTTCTCCGAAACGCTAAAACTCGTTCTCCCGTGATGCGTTCAGTGTCCCCGTTTTCATATCGTTTACCAAAGAGTAAGAAATAAAACCGAGAATAATCTTTATATAAAATTTATTATAAAAATAAAAGAAAATGTTTTTTACATACCTCTTCCTTCGTTGAAGAAATTTGTCTTTTTTCTCTCCCATGGTATATTCTGGGCTTGATAAGTGTGTGCCGGGTGAAGTCTGGAGCAGGATGTTGTTCAGCTGCAAAGAAGAGGCAAAAAATAGAAACATTTCGTGACATTCAGAGCCGGAATAAGACTCGACGAAGTCGTCGTCGCGGGTCTATAGGAGTACGTGTCTCTCGTAACAGTCAAGTTCAGATTCCTACCGCATTTTTAAACTGGAACTCAGCGGCATTTGAGGAAGACGAAGTGAATTTTTACATGCATTCTTGTCCATATCGCGCGTACTACGAATACCGACCTCTTTACCAATAGGAAATAAATCTATTTGTTATGGGCACCTCTTCTTATTGTTAGTGCGATAAGAGATGAACGACGAACGTAGAGAAATCAATTCCGTACGTGCTCGATTTGGAGTTGGCAACGAGTCAAGCCGCATGCGAAGAAGTTTGAATTTGTTACAGTTGACCTATTTGGGTGGAGAAATTTAGTCGGTAGTATAGAGCTTTGGTTCTGAGAGGTTTGAATATATACGAACTGTTTTAGTTGCGTATAAACTACAACTATCTACAACCCTATATGGTGATTAGACAAATTGCTATTTCCTAACCGTTGAATAAACCAACCAAAATGCGTTATGTTTGCTTTATACTATTTGCTAATTTGGGAAGTGCATGAAATGTTACCAATCGATATTGTAGTACAATGCTACGTAATATTCAGTTTTAGTTTATTGATGAATTGTATAATAAATTACATTAAATCTAATTAATTCCATGATATAGTATCGTTTTATATTAAATTGTATAGATTGATCGTAATTAATAATATACCTCATCTCGATGATCATGATGATAACTTCAACGACATAGTGGATATAGCAATAGAAAATGTGTCTTTTAAGAAATAATATCAAGTACCTTTTTTTTAATAACTTATTCGAAAAAAATATTTAATTACGAATAAAATTGCTTATTTAATTAATATTTCAATACAAAATTAGTATCATTCATTCCTAACCCAACCTACAAACTTAATTTACCGTAATAAATTACTGAGGAATGTGGAAATTAAATTCGATCCATTAAATCATTAATAATAAACTATATTTAGAAGATAAAAAAAATTATGATTACAATAATTTACATAATAAACCGTGTAACAAATAAAAACAGCGTGAAAAATGCGATACAACAACAAGGTTTGTGTATAAGAGGTTGAAAAATGGAAAATACTACCGGGAAATAATTCAAATTGTTAATTAACATGAATTACTTTAATATATTTAGTATGGTATGTAATTAACTGTGGTAGGAAAACGGATAATAATTCAACTTAATTTTTAACTTAACACCAAAAATTCTGGATCCGTTTAGGATCACCCAAAGGAAAACTTGCACTTTAAATCCTACAATTATTTTCAGAAGTAAACATTGGGTCTAAAATACTTACATTGGTAACTCTTGAGATGGATCTTATAATTATTTTAGTATCAAATAGACAGAGTCAAATCCGAAATGCCTTCTTTCATTTACGAGAAAGTATCCAACTTTTTATTTTTCCACATGTTAGAAGATTCCTAGCCTTAATTTTATTATATGATCAAAATTAACAAGATACTGGGAACTAAAATGCTCTAGCATCAGCAAATCAAATGATGGATTACTCATTCCACTTTCATAATAAACTACTATAACCAAAAAATAGAGATTTCAGTTCGAAATTTGCGTCAGAATTCTAATTTGCAATACTTCCATATAGATAATTACCTATTGTCTAGTTGAGACAAAATTTAAACAGTCAAATTTAGGTTCATGTTCTAAGNTGTAAATATCGTTCTAAAACCCTTAATAAAGTGTTATTGTTATAATGTGATTTTATTTTACTATTTTCCAAATTGCAACTATACGACTGCGAATCTAATCCGCACCCGATTGTAATCCGCATTTGATTTTAGAGCACATAAAATTTGTAAAAAAGGTGCGGATTACATTCGAGAAAATACGGTAATTCAGCAAAATTTTTGATTTGAGGGAAACTAAAGTAGTAATTGATTTATGTTATACTATACTCTATTTTTTATTTCAGAGGAGTAAAATGAAAAGTCACCAAAAATTCGGGATCCGTTTAGGATCACCCAAAATTTGCAGTTTAAATCCTACAATTATTTTCAGAAGTAAATATTGGGTCTAAAATACTTACATTGGTAACTCTTGAGATGGATCTTATAATTATTTATTTTACTATCAAATAGACAGAGTCAAATCCGAAATGCCTTCTTTCATTTACGAGAAAGTATCCAACTTTTTATTTTTCCACATGTTAGAAGCCTTAATTTTATTATATGATCAAAATTAACAAGATACTGGGAACTAAAATGCTCTAGCATCAGCAAATCAAATGATGGATTACTCATTCCACTTTCATAATAAACTACTATAACCAAAAAATAGAAATTTCAGTTCGAAATTTGCGTCAGAATTCTAATTTGCAATACTTCCATATAGATAATTACCTATTGTCTAGTTGAGACAAAATTTAAACAGTCAAATTTAGGTTCATGTTCTAAGACTTATCAAAATCGAGATTAAACTGTTGTGGAGTACATACATGCTAAGTCTTCAGCTGGTATCTGTCAGTATCTGATTTTGCGCTGAAAAGAAAATTTCCAGTCTTCTAATTATAATTAACTATTGGAGACTATAATATTTGCACTGGGAAGTGTTCGGATGGATTTTACAGTTATTTAGTTTCAAATAGACACTTTTAAATCTGAAATGTGTTCAGTTTACTTGAAATAATTATCGAGATGTCAAATCCATATTCATGACCGAAACTCGTCAACTTCTAATTGTTAAAGTGTTAGCACCGATTTTTGTTGAAGATTGCCAAGATAATAGAGACTAAACCATAGCCAACCTAAGTCTTAAGTTGGATTTGAACACCATTTTAGTCTTATCTCAAATTTAGACAAAACATCGAGTTGTCAAGACGAAATTCATGTTTCTAGATTTGTCGAAATCCTATTTGTCATTTAGAACATTTATTTGCAAGGTCATTTTAATTTCAAGTGAACACAATTAATTTCAGTAGTTAAATTTTCAGTTGGAACGTACAGAATCGACAACATACTGAATATTTCAATAGATGTATCTACTTCCAAACTGATCTTTTCCCCCCTAAATTGCCTCTTTTCATGTTTGAGTTATCGTGTACACATGTTTAATGTCTGGGTTGGTTGTGGATTAGATGGGCTTGGTTTAGTTTGGGGAGTTTTGGTTGGGTTTGGTTTATTCTTATAGTTATAAAATAAGGATCCACTGTTCTTTGGATACAATATTCTTATGTGTTTGCCATCAATCAAACCTATGTAATCAGTTTAGAGACTATTTCTATTTCAAGGCTCAGTAGAATGGCAAGAGAATTGAGTACAAAGAAGTTTTACATAATCTAATTTTATATAAAATACAGGGTCCGGCAGTGAAAAGGAAAGATTTGAGGTAGGGTTTACAGCGCGCCGCGAAGTGATGGGGAAGAAAGTAGCTGACTTGCCAAGACCTGTATGATTTGCCATTTAGTTTACAATGGAGCGTTGGAGGGGGGGAATCGTGGTTACGCAGTTAAAGCCTATTTTCAAAATGGTGAGATTTCGTCAAATGGAATCATCGGTCCATACTTTTTTGAGAATGATGCTGAAAATGCCGTTACCGTTAATTCTGTACGACACGTTGCAATGATTCAGAATTTTTTCACACTACAACTTGAAGGCTTTCCAGTGAATGAACACACACTTTTTCATCAAGACGGGGCAACAAGTCACACTGCAAGAATTTCAAGTTCTAGACAGGAAGTTGTTGCACCTCCGTGACGTCATGCGCCCAATGTAAAAGGATAGGGAGGGGTGCCAACCAAAGGCTTGGGGGGAAAATAGATTGGTAACTAGATCTGGTGTCTTTTCCAATACCAATCTATTTTTTTTTCACCTCAGCCTTAGGTTGGTACCCTTCCCTATCCTTTTACATTGGGTTGATGACGTCATGTGGTGCGGATGTAGTGCTATGGTGCAACTTCCTGTTAAGAATCGGCGTTGCTATACTACTGCTGTAAATGCTTTGAAATGATGATATCAGTTGGCCCCCTTGGTCTCCCTACCTAACCACATGCGACTTCTTTCTTGCAGAGTTATGCAAACCTTTGAGGTACGACTCCAAGAATGCATAAATTGTAACGGAAGACATTTGGCGGATGTAGTATTTAAAAAATAATTTTTTTGGCATTGTAAACCAAATGGCTACTCTCTTATTTTCCATTAATGTATTAAAAATTATTAAAAAAAATATTCTTTAACAATAAAATTATTTACGAAATCTTTCCGTTTCACTGCCGGACCCTGTATTAGTTTACTTTTACACCATTTTGAATTCTTCTCTTCTATTCTACTACTAGAATGGAAATCATTCGGGTTTAGCCGTCTTGAGAGACGTGCGGCTAAATCCGAATGTTTCTAGTTCTCGGTCTATTGTTAGTTCTAGTGACAGTGGTAAATAGCGCTAGTTAGNGCAAGTGTTACTTATTTTCTAAAGTAATAAAAAATGTATTATTTTTATATTAGTAATAAAAGTTTTTGTATACAGCAACATCACTAAAATATATTTTGATGCTTGATTATCCCCCTGGAATGGGGATTGCATATTTTGTTAAAATTGATTCCAAAGGCCTTTACTGAGTGTATTTTGATAGCGTTTTAATTCTGTCACAAAGTTTCAAAATTTTTGACTTCTTGGGACACAAAGGGTTAATGTCTGGGTTGGTTGTGGATTAGATGGGCTTGGTTTAGTTTTGGGAGTTTTGGTTGGGTTTGGTTTATTCTTATAGTTATAAAATAAGGATCCACTGTTCTTTGGAAACAACATTCTTATATGTTTGCCGTCAATCAAACCTATGCAATCAGTTTAGAGACTATTTCTATTTCAAGGCTCAGTAGAATGGCAAGAGAATTGAGTACAAAGAGGTTTAATATAATCTAATTTTATATAAAATATTAGTTTACTTTTATACCATTTTGAATTCTTCTCTTCT